AGATTGTCTCGAAAAGTCACACAGGCGGGTGGTAACTGCCAGGAATCAACAAGTCTTCTAGTTAGTGTTGCCTTCATTTTGCTTTATTCCACAGGAATTGTCTCGTAATGTGTATCAAGATATATAATAAAGTTCCTAAAAATATTCGTGAACAGCCATTAACGCGAATGAAAAAAAGTTTAAAGCAGTGGCTAATAAATACTGCCTTTTATAACATCAAAGAATTCTTTAACTATAAATTTTGATTTTGCTTTTGATTTCTTTTTTGTTGATTTTGTTTAGCTAAGTAAGTTACTATAGATCCAGGATTTTGCGTGATACTTCTCAATTGAATTAAAGGTTATTTTTCGAATTTTGTTATGTTCTTCTAAAAACATTTGTTTTTAGAAGAACATAACAAAGTGGTAGTTACATACTGGAATATTATGTGTATATTTCTAATGTTAGTTCATTTGTTCTGAAAACATTTATATTTAAAAAAAAAATATTTTTTCGCATGCCACGAATGGCAAAATATGTGGAAACAAATATTGACTCTGTATCCATCCGTCTGTACCCATGTTTTTAGCGAAATAAATGATTTGATTTGATTCAATAAGATGTTTATAACCATTGAGTTATATGTACTACGTTATAACCAATATCTTTGATTACTTGTGAAACCAGACGATTGTCGTATTTTAATACACCATCACCGCAACCTGATAATGTTACTGCCCCTGTGTTAATAGTAGGAACAAATGATTGTCTATTTGATTTACCAGAAAAAAGTTTTAGTCTATGTGTCGAGATATTTGTATAGAATATGTTGTCGCGAACACCACAAATGTGAAAAAATAAAATTGTATGTTAATAGATCTGAACAACCTATAAATATGGGAAAAGATTTTTTCAGCCATTACAAGGGTTTTAATAAAGATAGTGTTCAATCGGATTTTTTTAATAATACTTCCTGGCAATTTTATCGCGTTTGTTGAATTGCTTGAGCATAAATTTCGCTCAAGCAATTCAACAAACTGATATATTGACGTCGAAAGAAACATTGTAACTATTGGTACTGAAATATTAAAACGTGTGCAAGATTTTAAATTTGTTAAGAAATGCGAGCGAGCTAAATTTGTTATGAAGAGCGAGCTTTCCAATGGATTATTAAAAAAAAACTTTACATTAAATTTAGAACTTACCATTTAATTAAAAGCCACAACTAATTGTTGTAGAACAATACGTAATTATATAAATACTTTTTTCGTAATTTCTTTTTTATAGGATAAGGGTGCCAAACGAGCACACAGTCCACCTGATGGTAAGTGGTTGCTGTGGCCCATAGACATCTACATCTATCTTCGATTAAGACTCAAAATGCAGATACGTTGTCACCCGTGAGGACTAAGATGAAATGCCTCTCTACACTCACCATACGAAACACAGCAGCGTTAAGCTGCTATTGTACACTGGTATTCTGTGAGCGTGGTCCTTCCCCGGTCGAGCCGAGCCATTCGTTCTACAACCATAATAAAGCTGCAGCATGGCTCTACCACGTATAAAAGTAAAATATTTAGAATACGTAGTTTATAAAAAAATATTATATCTTTAGTATCTACTAAAATGTTGATAAACGTTTTGTTTATTTAGTTTTATCCTCCTGTGCCAACCCTACCAAAATAGGTAAAAATTTTGACATCTCCTTAGAAGCTTTGCCTCTGTAGTTTCTTTTAACAGACTTCCACATGTCTTCGAAATATTTTAATTTCTCAGATATGCAGTTTTCTTCACAATGGTTTCCTTCACCGTCGATCACGTGGTATTTCAGTACTTAAAATTGCAACGACATTGCGAATATTTATTTTTAGGATTTCCTTCTGTATCGTAAATACATACATTTCACAAGGACAAACATCCAAACCCGGTACAATTACTTTTTCCATACAAATACTTTTTCCGTGAGGGATTCGAACGTAAGGAAATCGAACCCGGCCTGATCGTACTTAAAATGTTTTTGAAGAGCCTCAGATTTTTTTATAGGATAAGGGTGACAAACGAGCACACAGTCCACCTGATGGTAAGTGGTTGCTGTGTCCCATAGACTTCTACATCTATCCTCGTTTGAGAATCAAAATACAGATGTACAGTCAGCTGTGAAGGCTTAAGATGGAATGGCTCGTTTCCAGTAAAAAGGGTCTCCGGTTCTGTACACTCACCATACGAAACACAGCAGTGTTAAGCTGCTATTTTACGCTGGTATTCTGTGAGAGCATGGTCCTTCCCCGGTCGAACCTACCCATTTTTTTTGCGCCCAGATGCAATTGAAAAGGGTTAGCCCCCGGAATGCGAGGGAGGTGAGAATGCTCTAAGCATACCATGGTTATGAGGGACTCACTGCGACTAACCTAACCTTAGTGCCTACCCACTAAATACCACCTGTGAGACTGGCATTGGCTTATGAGGCCTTTCTGCCGAATCGGAAGCGACCCCCTTAGGGAAAAGAGGGCGCAGATGAATGAAGCGCAGTCCAAAAGAGGGCGCAGACCGACCCATTCGAGTTAACAACTATAATATAGTTGCAGCATGGCTCTACCATGTATAAAAAAGATTAGTTAAAAGAAATTTATTAATTAAAGATTATATCTTAACACTGCTGTGTTTCGTATGGTGAGTGTAGAGAACCGGAGACCCTTTATACTGGAAACTGAACTGACAACGCATCTGCATTTTGATTCGTAATCGAAGATAGATGTAGATGTCTATGGGCCGCAGCAACCACTTACCATCAGGTGGACTGTGTGCTCGTTTGTCGCCCTTATTCTATAAAAAAAAATACACAAACTATTGACATCAAACCGGAAAACGCAACTACTACATTTAGGCTATAGGTAGGTTTGAATTACTAAATGGATTAGGATACTGGGCTACAGAGGTGACGCTTAGGGACACTATTAAAGGTTAGTTGGACTTAACCGACAGCAAGACGCATTTATCAAGCATATATTTCTCAAGCATATTATATTTCTAGCACTTCACTCTATAATTTTTTAAGGTGTATAATATGTGTTATCATCAGCTTACGATGCATAAACACTACTTAAATATATTATTATTGTGCTTGTAAAACCCCTTTTACAATCACAATAACATATTTTAGGGTAACCGTGTAAAATATTCAGTACCCCATATCATCCCGTTGCGTTGGTGTCGTAAGAAGCGACAGTAAGAAACTAAAACAGGAGATGGACAGCATCATTTCTCTGATAACAACTATAAATAATAAAAAAACTGTGGTTGCCAAGCCGCTTGCCAAGCATGGCAACTATGACAAAATCCCCCTAGAAGCAATGAATATATGGATGAAAAGGGGTGATGAAAACACAGAAACGAAAGTGCAATAAAAATCTCAAACGTTATAAATTAATTTATTAATGACTGAAAATAAATATAATATGTAATTATCAAATCGATTCGAACATTTTATAAACAACTTGTAATAATATTTTATTTATGAGCTCGTGACGTGTTGTTTTAAAGCGAACAAAAAAACAGCGCAACAAGTAGCGCGCGTATTCAAAAATAAACCTTAATACTATAATGACAAAGTTTAAATTTACAAAACAGTACACTTATGTATAAGAAAATTTGCTTCAAAGCAAATTAAACTGTGCACTTCAACCTTTTAGGTTCGTTTATCAACAAACAAAATACTTTTAGTACTTTTTCATTTTTATTTGTATATTTATAGTAACATATCACATTGACACAAGATATATAAGATTTACATAGAAATAGTAAAATTATTTTTAAAATATTTTAACATTAGTTTGCATTATATAGTTGTTATTATTACAAATTAAATAAGTAAATTACAAAAATAGAATTCAAATAAATGTCAAAAAATTAATAATAGTGGACTCTAAGCCCCGCTTCTACACGACTTAAGAGAATCTACTACCCATATCATGGTGCGAATCACTGCCCCGTGGATGTCCTATGATGACAACAGCTCAAAATATTTAAAAAATTACGGTTTTCAAGCCCGCCAGTCCAAGTGTGGCAACAATGGCAAATATCCCCAACTATGGGGGGCAATCTATGTGAGGGATGTTCACAAATAGACTTTAATAGACTGTTATGAATTAATGAATAAATGGATTGTTATACGGGATCATTTTGCAATAACCGGCCAAATTTGCAGAAAAGGTTCAGAGTAAGTAATATAGGCAAATTATTATAGGCGATGAAAAATTTATTTTAAAAAAATCAACATTCTGTCCTTTTTATCTTTTAAATTCAAAATGCGTGGTAATGCATTATTTTAACTGATTTTACTGCGCACGGACACATTTGAAAGGGTGGATCTTTAGGCAAAAATGTTGTTACCCGTAAATCACATTCAATTTGGGATAATTTCAAATAAAACTGAAATAACGGTATATCATTATTTATACATTTGAACTTAAGTTTAAAATTCGGCTACTTTTTGAAAAATAACCCTATATAACTATAATGGTTTCTTCTCATTACATATTTTGCGCCAATTCAAAATAATATTTTTTAAAGTGTGAAATTATTTAACAAGCAAAATAAATGTTTTCGCGGTACCCTGGTAACATTTCCATGGAATCTTTCGGAAGTTTGGTACTGCATGCGTCTATCTTCCCGCCGAGTATGACCATTTAGACAAATACAAATATAACTGGAGAGGCAGCCCAGCAGTTGACATTTAAGGACTGATGATTGTAAATGACGACGAAAATTACGTGACACCTTTATGTATACAGTTTTAATCAGTCGGAAACAGTCAGAAGCGATGAGGTCTTTTAGCAATTCCCATACTCGTTTATTACCACCCCGTGGACGTCGTCCCCAACGTCTCCATCACATATTTAATTTTTTTTTTCATCGCTAATATTTTAAAATGACAAAGTTCCAGAAACTATAAGCCCGAAGTTGTTTTATTAAATACTGACTTAATTGCGGAATGTTTCGAGACGGAATAATCGTGTTCCCATTTATTGGTCCTCCGGCTTCGGTAAATAGTACGTCGAGTCAATGTAATGTTTCGTGATATCGGACACCAGACTTCTGTCCGATATTTCTTGGGCTACCCCGTAGATCGCCATCTGTAACGATTGTTCAATTTTAAATTTGTTCTTATTTTTTATTATTACTTTTTTATATGGAACAAGTGTGACGAAGGAGCACACAAATGGTAAGTGGATGCTGTGGTTCATTGACATCTACAAGTATCCTCTATTAAGAATCAAAATGCAGATGCGTTATCATCCTTGGATTGCCTCTTTACCAGTAAAAAGGCTCCGGTAAGAGAACTGGAATGTTGCTGTTTTTCGTGTAGAGACAACTATCGTACGAAACACAACAACATTATTTACCGCGTGCAGAAACTTTGCCGATGAGGTCATGAAATCACGTATCGATGATTACTACGGTTGACAAAAAGACATATTAAAATAGTGGTTACAAGTGCAATAAATCAATAAAGAAAAAAAATAAAACGTTGGAGTTGTTAGTAAGATTTATTATAGTCGAATCTTTTTGTTTCTCCTTCTCGAAAAACGTTAGAACCTTTAAAATAATAATACATTCGCCACCGCGATAGGCTTTCCTACAACCCATTTTATTAAAAAAAATAACACTAACACAAAGCAAACAAAAACTTCGGAGCGTGAGCAATAAATTCAAAGACGTTGCAAATGTGAACACGCGACTGCTTTGCTAACGGTACTAACTAGGCGAGCGCGGGACGCGGTTGGCGAAGGCGAGAGGGGCAGTCATCGGAAAACTTTCTACGCGCGGCTAATATGCTGCTATTTCACGCTGTTATTCTGTGAGAGCGTGGTCTTACGCCGTTGAGCCCACCCATTCGTGCTACAACCATAATATAGTTGTAGCATAGGTCTACCACTTTGAATTAATAGTCACAACACATATTTTCACTGGTATAACTTGATAGCTACTTTTGCATTTTTGATAATGTTACTAACAATTATTACTAATTTTATCAAGTTATACCAGTGAAAATAGGTGTTGTAGCTATTCATTTTATAAATAAATTATGTCGATTTTACCAAAAAGGTATGACTAATTCCAATTAGCCCAGAAAAATCTAGGTTTAGTATTTTTCATATTTATGATGGATAATTTGAACACACCTAAGCTTAACTAACCGCGATCGGCTACACCTAGCTGTTGCTGATTCAACATAGCTTACATTTAATTGAAAAATATATAAAATAACAAGGTAAATTAAAAAAATATATAAGCCCTCAAGGATTCAGCCGATAAATTAATAACATTCTTCCAACTAGCCGCACAATGAGCTGATTACAACAATATTAATAATTGTCCAAGTCAAATTCGGTAAAAAGAAATTTCATAACTATTCTAGTGGAAAAGAAACCTTAAATGATTAAAATAAAACTCACTTTCCCGTGCACGGGCTGGACGCCCTGGCTGCAGCAGACGCGCGCGGCGTCGCGCACGTCGGCCACGAAGCGCTCGGCCGCGCCCGTCTGCGTGTGCGCGTGCGTCACGCAAATGTGCACTCTGTCGGACACACAACAAGGTGCATATTATAATCACATTTTAACATGTTTTTAATAAATCGCTTTCTTGTCGTCTGTCAGTTCGGTAAAAATTTCGCAATCGATTTAAAACCAATTTCCTGATGAGCTAGAGACTTAAAGCTTTAAATATAATTCAGAACTAGATGACGAACTAAAAAGTACAAAATTAGTATTTTTTTAATATACTTATCACGTTTATATGGCACGCAGGCATACATGAAAAAACGGTTTTTAAGAAAACTCACACAACAATTTGATATTATTTTTCAGTGCAATAAAATTGTTAGCGACTTAGGTGAACTATTCTGAATCAATTATATATTGCATGCGTCCCACTTTTTTATCCGTATGGAGCTAAGAGAAATTATTTTAAACTGTTTAGACATTTTTTTAAAATTTTTTTAAAACGTGGCATATCTAAAATTATTGAATAATTAATAATTTTACACACCTCGAAAACGAACGACTGACATTATATCAACCTATTTATATACCGCACTAATACGTGATGAAATGCACATTAATGTAAGAAAAAATCGCAATAGACCTAATGCTTTCATAAAGTTTTGATCCTCCAAAATACTACTAAATGCATATGTAAGGCCAAAATTACTGTTGAATTTTGAATATGAAAGCTACATTTCCAGAGAACTACCTCTAGAAACTTACATGAAAGTACTACATTACATTAAGATTGAATTTAAATACATTAACAAAAAAATACTTTCAAACTTTTTTCACACTCACCCCGAGGGGAACTGCAGCGCGTTCAAAGCCCAGCCCTTCTTGTGCAGGAGTTCAGCCAGCTTGAATATGTCGAACTGCTTGGAGCCGAAGGCGATCACGGTAGCGGCCGGTTTGCCGAAGATGAACAGGCCCTCTATCTTTCGTAATCTATAAATAAAATAGGCACGATAACAGCTTATGCAATAGTATTTTAACAGTTCCAGTTAGTTCTTGTAAAAGGCTACATAGATTTTGATGATTTTATTTTTAAATTCAATAGGTTGGGGCACGCTGCAGGGGTAGTTCCATAAGAACTTTAAGAACAAAATATACCCATAAAGATGGTAAAACAGTTTTAATTTAACTATTTTAGATGTCATTCGCTTCTAGTGACCCGGTCATTCAAACATTGATTCTTATTGAAAACCAGGTTATTCCAAAAAAAAATTAAAGAAGAAAACCGGGTTATTCGGGTCGATCATTCAAATGGATCATTTCGAGTTTCAGTACTATGTGATCTGTGAGACCCAATCGATAATGTCGGTTGTCGGACATTACTATACTCTGGCCGTAAATCCTGTCATTCGTTTGATCCGGAACATTCAAAAAAATGTTTATTTAAATCATCAATACTTTGATGCGACCCGGGTCAAATGAACGAATCATTCACGATTGACACACATGTCTATTTCGATGTGATACAAGGGCCTGAACCACTATCGCAGTGTGGGTAAAAAACGGTTAACGGTGGTGGGACTCCTTTTCTTTCTAGTTAACCATGTGACTAGGTACTAAACTCTTACCTAGTTCCGCCAAACAGCAGTGCCTGAACTGTACTGCACTGCACTGCACTGTAACTACAGGCTCTTGAGGCGTACCATCTTCAGAGTCAGAGTCAGTTATTTGTTCGAAGTTGGTTGCAGTTGTCTATGCATCCCGCATCTGCAGTAGTCACTCACCAGGCGGACTGTTAGTTCGTTTGTTAATCGATTTTATCTTTATATATAAAAATTAAGTGTCACGTTGTGTGTCCGCGATGAACTCCTAAGCTACTGAACTGATTTCAATGAAATTTTGCACACTCTGTGCAGTTTCGCTCAACTTGAGAGACAGGATAGTTTTTATCCTGATAAGTGACACTAAATATATTTTTATTACGAATTTAAGGATTTTTTATATGAAGGGTCGTCGAAAAGGACAGAACAACGTCTGCCTGGCCAGCTAGTAATATTATAAAAATATAACGATAATCTACATCTACACTACTATTATAAAGAGGAAAGATTTGTTTGTTTGTTTGTTTGAATTGAATAGGCTCTGAAACTACTGGACCGATTTGAAAAATTCTTTCACCATCAGAATCCTACATTATCTCTGATGAACATAGGCTATATAATATTTTCAAAAAAGTTAGTGATCTGTATGAAAACTTCGTTAATGTAACCCAAGGTGTGAAAAAATACCAAAAAGAATCCTTATATCGCGTACGCTGCGGAAACTATTGATAATAGGGCAAAGTAATGTACTTCAGTTTTATAGAAGATATCAATATCTACAAAAAAGTCTGCGATACCATATGTTTAACTATTACAGTTATGTCACAATAACTACTTTTACATGTTAAAATATGAAATAGTAACGCCGGTACAAAATAGGCCACATTATTCGTATCAGTACCTGTATCATGCGCAACCACCAATTACGTTAACCATGTAATTTTAGTAACATATTTCACTTTTTAAATCTTTGTTAATTCAGCAACCGTCCATCGTGATGTCTCTCTCGAAGTTCGCATGTCGCAAGGCGCAGACGCGTGATATACGCGGGTGAAACCGCGGGGCACAGCTAGTATACGATAAAGTAGGTTTTGGCGAGAACTTCACCGCCGGTGGATTGCTGCTCTTGTTTTATTGTATAAATAATGGTTTCAAGTGCATTTTGATACGTAAAAGTGGTGCGATTTTTTATATTAAGCATATGCGCATGTAAACTATTAGTGGAAACGATGATACAAGTGCTCCAATGTTGATGTGAACCTCAAAATAATGTGTCTGCTTAGGCGCCTTGAGATACTGTCGTCATCGACTATCAGCCGGTCAAAATCTCCCAAAAACTTTGCAATGTGACGCATCAACATATTGTTAAGAAATTTTTAAACAAATTATTATAAACGATAATTTCTTACAACTCGACACTGGTAAAATTATGACAGTACGAGTCCATTACACAGAGAAAAAAAAAAGTAAATTATATACTCACTCGCTTTCGATATATTTGGCGGTGGTGATAATCTCGTCGGTCATCTGCACGTACTTTGCCTTCCCCACGAACATCATGGTGGCCCAACACGCCGCGATCAACCCACCCGCCCTGCTGCCTGCAAGGAAACTTTCGTTAACTGGTGGTACTGAAATTCTCCAGGGGCACCAATACCTAGGATACCTTCAGAAAAGAATATAGCGTTGCACGCAATGCCGCTCGACAGTAGAAATAGGTTTCCATTCATTATTTACAAGCGCACTTAATTGCCACATTAAATCAAATGTCTTCTAATTTCCTACGTTTACACAAAAACTATACTTTGAATGAAACTACAATTTTGTCACGTTTTATTAAGAGCGTAGACGGGCTGCATTTTTTCCATACAAATGTCTTCCCCTATACTCTTCCTGAATAATGCCTGTAGAGTAATCGTTTTTGTTTATAAAAATCAAGATCTATTGAAGGCATGCCCCTTTCATTTATTTTTTTTCCAAAAAAATATTACAAAAGTAAGTATGACTTCCCAAAAACCTAAAAATGCTCCGTTTTTACCCCCGTAATCAGACGACTACCAAAGAAATTTAAAGTTTTTAAGATAAAAACAAGCGATGGAAGGATAGATCTATTCTTCCTTCAACCTAAAATAATTTAATCGGCTTAGTTTTCGAGGAGAAAACAGTTGTCTCTATCGCACTCTACGGGGAGACCATATTTTGCGCGACGGCAATAGCTTCTTCAAATTACCTATTTCTCAATTCTCCCGCAGACCGACTACGCTCTTAACTTACTAGCTGTGCCCCTCGGTTTCATCCGCGTATATCACGCGTCTCTGCCGCGCGACTTAATATAACACCTCGCTCATTTAGTTCAATAATTTTAGTTAAAAATTGGTATAACTAATGGAGTACTTTTATTTATCGGCATATGTACGTTATAGTGCAAAGGTAAATTTTATCCACTCTCCCTCCAGGACCCGGGTGAGCGCCTTCTAGCGAGCGTTAATCTACCTTTATTTTTATGTATATAGAGTGTGCAGGTAGAGGGATAACGCTGCGCTTCGGGACGTCACCATGTGTGTGAGAGTGGATAAAATTTCACTTTTCTCTATAACGTACATATGCCGATGGACTTTATTAATTTTGACAATTTTGTAGCTAAAATCATTGAACTAATATGAGCGAGGGGTCATGTCACGTTTGCGTCTCAGACGCGTGATATACGCGGGTAAAACTGCGGGGCATGACTAGTTATAAATAAAAGTATTCCATTAATTTTGCCAATTTTTTCATAGATTGCTATATAATATGTAGCTGCCAGGTTCATTAAGAAGCCGGAGTCAGTATATAATATCGAGATTGTCTGCTACTTCCGAAAGTAACTGGCAGCCCCACTCCTAACTCCCGAATACGATGATGAGATAGATGATGAGGTAACCTACCGTTGACGGTGGGTGAGCCGTAGACGCCGCCGGGCCACTCGGTGGTGACGGTGTACTGGCAGTGACGGTACTCGCTCCGCCGATACAGAACCACAGAGGTACCCTTCGGCGCGTAACCGTACTGGACACACAGAAATACCATTCATTCATATTACATATAAAATTGAACCTACAGTCCACCTGATGGTAAGTGGTTGTGGATACCTGCAGTCAACTTGAAACAAAGATTACAGATGCGTTTTATACTGATTTTCTATACCTTTTAGATCGTAATACAGCAGTGCTTATCTATCCAGATAAGTGCTATCTATACAAATAAATAAAATTGAAGTGTCTGTTTGTAATGTCAAAACTACAGCTTTTTACTAAATGCATATGAAAGTATATACGGTACTTATAACAAAAATACAATTTTTAAAGTTTTTGTCTGTCTGTCTGTCCGTCTGTGTATCTGTCCGTCTGTCTGTCTGTTTGTTCCGGCTAATCTCCGAAACGGCTGGACCGCTTTTGACGGTATTTTCACTGGCAAATAGCTGATGTCACAAAGAGTAACTTAGACTACTATTATTTCAGAAAAAGAATTAGGGTTCCGCCCAAAAAAATTAAAACCCCTAAAAACACATCGCGGGGAACATCTAGTAAATAAATATAATCTCATAATTAATGAGTTAAAAATACTAGTATCGTTTAATTTGTTAAAGGTTTTTTTATAGAAAAATAATGTGACTGTGATCGTTTTATTTTATCTGCTTTAACGGCCCGCAAAATAGTTACAAATACTCCTCTGTCAAGAAAGTACCGGGAAAAAAATCAATAACACACAAAATGATAGTTATTAATCCAAGTTTATATTATCACCTTCAAATTATGCTCCTTCAGAAACGATACACTTTCTCCAATGAATAATCCAATCATCATAACATTTTTTAAACGCTTTTTTCCGGAATTGAGTTCGGTTCTCGCTGCGAATTCTCCTTTATGTCTTCTACCGAATGAACACGGATGCCAGGAAGAATTTGAGTTTAGGAAAAAGAAAGAAATCGGCTGGAGCTATATCTGATGAATAAGGTGGTTGCTCGATGGTATTTGTTTAGTTTTTGGTCAAAAATTCGTTCACAATGATGGCCTTGTGTGAAGGCGCAGTATAATGGTGCAAAATCCAAGAATTTTCTTCCCACAAATCTGGCCTTTTCCGTCTAATTTGCTCTCTTAAGCGCCGCATAATGCTCAAATATTCTTTATTTACCGTTTGACCTCCCAGTAAACATTCCGAGTGCACAACACCGCGATAGAAAAAGAAAACAGTCAACATGACTTTGGTTTTTGATCGACTTTGGCGTGGTTTTTTCGGTTTCGGTTCAGTTGGAAGGCGCTACTCCGAAGTTTGTTGACTAGTTTGCCTGTCAAAGTCGTAAATCCACGTCTCGTCATCAGTAACAATGCGTTTCATGAATGTTGGGTCGAAATTGACTCGTTCTAGCATGTCCTCAGCGACTCTTATGCGATTGCGTTTTTGGAAAAAATTCAGGTCTTTTGGACCTCGCCGAGCGGCAATATTTTTCATACCCATATGATTTTTTAAAATGGTACGGATAGAATCGTGAGACACATAAAGTTCGGCGGCTATCTCTCTCACTATTTCCTTCACTTTTGCGATGTTAATTTCAGTTGTAGACCTTGATGGATAAATTTTCCATCACATCTTGACCGTTTTTGTACCACTCATAAGCACGTATTTTAGATAAAGTCGATTCATCGTAAGCCTTCTGTAACATTTTCAGTGACTTGGAACACGAAATTTTATTGGCGATGCAAAATTTAAGATAAACTCTTTGTTCGATGTTTTTGTCCATTGTGGAATTCGCAATGCACACTTGATATGATATAACTAATAACAGCATTGTATTTCATCTAAATAATAGATGTAACTCAAACTCCGCGCCAAAGTGGAAAACAGTTGTACCAATCTAACAACAACAAAAAAAATCAAAAAATTGAATTTGGAACCATAAACAAGTCATCCATTTTCGATATTTTTTGAATGAATGTATAAATTAATGTATTTTGCATATTTATGGTACGGTTGCTTTAGCATATTTAAAAAATATTACATAAGTTTTAACGTATGACGATTTTGGATGTTGATATATTGTATAAATATAATTATATATAGTTTATTTAAGATTTAAAAATACAATATTCAGTGATGTCTCAATAGGGGGAAAAGTTAAAAATTGTATTTTTTTTTAAAAAATCGTTACCCTCACTCTAGGATTTTTTCCTGTATCGTGGAGGCAGTTTACAAACATAAATTGCACAAGGACAAACATCCAGACCCGGAACAATTATTTGTAGGCCATACAAATACTTGTTCCGTGCGGGATTCAAACCTTCGGTACCCCAGCGTAACAACTGATTGCTAAGCCACTGCGCCATGGAGCCGTCTTATTTTAGTTTGTATTAGATACAAAAGAAGAATTAAAACGTTATAAAATCTATAACAAAAATATATTGTCACGTGGGTGTCGTAAGAGGCGACAGAGGGAAACTGAAACAGGAGATGGGTATCAGATCTTTCTGATAACAACTCAAAATTATAAAAAAAACTGTGGTTGCGACCCGTCAGCCAAGTGTGGTAACTATGGCAAAATCCTCCCTATGATTTAATGAATGAGGAGGCCTATGTTTAGCAGTGTATTTTTATAGGCTGTAATAGATAAATAGATAGGTACAGAAGTCCCCAGTGTAGTTTAGAATGAGAGCAATAGTCTGATTAAAGTTATAGGCAGATCAACACGTGTCCTCTCATTTGACAGGTTGCAACATTACAAGGGAACATGCAGTGGTGTGTGTGTGTGTGTACCTTGTGCGTGTCGGCGGAGATGCTGGCGACGCCGGGCAGGCGGAAGTCGAAGGGCGGCAGCTGGTGTCCGGCGCGCGCCATGAAGGCGCACACGAAGCCGCCCAGGCACGCGTCCACGTGCAGCGGCACGCCGCACTCCGCGGCCAAGGCCGACAGCGCGCCGATGTCGTCCATCGTGCCGTACGGGTAGTTGGGCGCCGAGCCCACGATCTGCGGAACCACGCCACTGCTAACAATCTTACGCTCACCAAACATCGCTGCTTGGGACAAAGATCAACATGCGTTTTATATATATATATCCGATATATATTCCGACCACCCTACCTATGAAAAAATCCTTAAATTCACAATAAAAAATTTTGAGGATCATTTATCGGGATAAAAACTATCCTATCTCTCAAGTTGGATCAAAATGCACACAGTGTGCCAAATTTCATTGAAATCAGTTCAGTAGTTTAAGAGTCCATCGCAGACAAACAACGTAACAAGTAATTTTTATATATAAAGATATGTTATAGATAAAAACCGAAGTGCGGTTACACATAGTTCTCGCCAGCTAGAACTAGGAGCGGCCAGCAGTAATTGGTTAAATCTAGGTGTACTATTAAATTTGTAAAAACATGGATATACACAGATACAGCAGATATTTATCTAATTTATAAATTGTATAGGTAACTGCTATTGTCTTACTATTGTGTCTGAAAACCAGATAATGAAAGTGTTAAGGTGCAGCAGATATTTATCTAATTTATAAATTGTATAGGTACAATACACTTAAGTTTAACCAACCGCAATAGGCTGCACCTAGTTCTAGCCAGCTTGAACTAGATGTAACCGCAATTCAGCTTTTAGCCGTAATATAATAAATTACACAAAACAATGCATCAATGCTGTATTTCATATTTTCTTACGCATTTCTTTTACTTTTAGAAATATCCAAAGCGTGGCTTATGTATAGTACATATGTATATACATGTGCGTATATATGAGCCGAGCACGCGCGTGTACTTGTATTTATGTGTTTTCTCAGCCTACTCCCTCGGAATATATTATGCACATAATTACGGGTAAAAAAACATTCCACCTTAATATTTAATAATGACAAAACGTCTATAGACTTCTTTGGTTAGAATTGATAGCAGGCAATGTCCAATCGAAAATTCGACCAAAGTCAGCCGAATTTTTGAACGAAACCAAAGGCTCTCTCTCTCTCTCTAGCAAGCGCCGTAATCGACTGAACTGCTACGAATGAGAGAAGACGCGATGGAGGTAACAACACAATTTTTACAATCAATATATATCTTTAATTTAAAAGTTTTAAAATCATTTAATCATAAAAAAATTCTTAGGATTTTTAGGCCTTCCACTAGAACGAAGATTGTGGCGATAGCCGATTAATCGTCTACGGCCATAAATCGACCTTCGGTCGGACACTGGTTACAAGTATGCATGAGCTGCAGTAATCACTTAAAGGCCTATTACACTATGCAGTATCAAGACAGTCTTACTAACATTTAGCGTAGTGTAATAAGAGTAAGCAAGTTAGTCTGTCTAATTAGACGGACCGAGTGGGTTCGGCCGTGCTTGCTTGCTTTCTTGCTGAATATCGCGTGGTGTAATAAGACTTAGCACGCCGAGACCGTTTAGTGAGCGCGCGGCAGCAGCAGAGTGAAGTCACGTTTTTGTTTGCTGTGGCGTGCACAATGGCTTGCTCAAAAGAAAAGGAAGTGATTTTTAATCTTATTGATGTGTAACGTGACGTTATACGTGGTAGAGCCATGCTGCAGCTATATTAGTAGTATACTTGTAGCACCAATGGGTGGGCTCCACCGGGGAAGGACCACGCTCTCACAGAATACCAGCATACAATAGCAGCTTCATACTGCTGTGTTTCGTATGGTGAGTGTAGAGAACCGGAGACCCATTTTACTGGAAAAAAGGCATTCCATCTTAGTCCTCACGGGTGACGACGCATCTGCATTTTGATTCTTTATTGAGGATAAATGTAGATGTCTATGGGTCACAGCAACCACTTACCATCAGGTGGACTGTGTGTTCGTTTGTCACCCTATCCTAAAAAAAAGACATGCCATATTTATGGCAGAAAAATCACAAAGATTATTTAAACCAATCACTTCGTGCAGAAGGATTCCGGGTGTTGTTAGCAATTTATAAAAACTTCGATGAAAAAACTACAGTGAAAACAAAAAGAAGCGTATCTTCATTTTTTTTATACGATAAGGGTAATAAACGAGCACACAGTCCACCTGATGGTAACTAGTTGCTGTGGCCTATAGACATCTACATCTTTTCTCGATTACGAATCAAAATGCAAATGCGTTGTCACCCGTGAGGACTAAGATGGAATGCCTACTTTCCAGTAAAAAGGGTCTCCGGTTCTCTACACTCACCATATTAAACACAGCAGCGTTAAGTTGCTATTTTACGCTGGTATTCTGCGAGAGCGTGGTCCATCCGCAATCGAGCTGAGCCATTCGTGCTACAACTATGCTACTAATATAGCTGCAGCATGGCTCTACCACGTATGAAATCATCCTTTTGATTATATGGAGTAACTAATTTCAACACATATTCAAACTCAGCAACCCCTACTCTAAGTTAGTTTCTTAAGGCAGATGGTTTCAAAACACTCAGTATTTTCATATTTGATAATTTTTCCCGTAACAGTAAATACTCCTTCAATCATATTTTTCTTTTCTTTTTTGTACTCCAAGTAATAGACGCGGCAAGAGCTATGGCGATTTTCTGGTGCTTCGAAAGTCTTCCCATGACACCGCGACAACCGTCACCGGCTACGTAGGCCTTGCAAATGATTTAGCATGCGGTATTCAGGGCGGTGTAATAGCGAGCTTGTCTAATTAGACTTTAAGACAGTCTTAATAAGACTGTCTTGATATTGCGTAGTGTAATAGGCCTATTACCACCAGGTGGACTTAGTTTGGTTAGACGTTAGACGTAAATTTGCTTGTCACTTCAATTTTATTAAAAAAAAATTATCCAATAATCGCTTTTCGTCTTTAATGTTATCCATTGGACCAACGACTTAGTATGTGCTGTTACTTCAAACTATTTAAAATCAACTTAGTCATTATTTATTGTGATATCTTCAACTCGCAAGTCGAGTCAGCCGATAGCCTGGTAAATTCAAACATTCCTCGACATGTTTAATTAATCGAACCTAGTTAAGATTAATACCATGCATACTTGTTCTACTTAAGGCGTGGTTATTAACATGGATGTTAAAAGTGTACAGGAAAACCTTATGTGGATCACATTATCTTTATGAATCAAATGGTTCATGATACGAAATACAAAAGTAAACATAATATAATGGGATCGAAAATAATTTAAACTTTTAAACAACAGCTCGAACTCAAATTTGACTTGTGCGATAGTCTCTCTTCAGAAAAATTCAGATCATGAAGAAGAACAAGTGAAAGAGAAAATGAAAAAATCCCTCTTAGTAAATGAGAGGAGGCCTGTGCCCAGCTGTGTATATAGTTTGTAAATTTAACTGTTATTATACTTAGTTATTTAAATCACCTACAACTAATATTTCACTGCAACGCTATGATAACGCTAACTGGCATTAAGTCCGCACTTTGTAACCTTTTATGGTTAGTACAATAAAGTTGTAAATAAATAAATAGGTCCCTCTTAACTGATAATTTATCATTTTAATATAAACCCTAGAGCCTAGGCGATTATGTCAAAATATATAGATCATATATATTATCATATAAATGGCGACATAAATAGCGGCCATTATGACAAACACAGAACAAAATTAAGTGTTGGATTCTGTTGATCTCATAATCTACACGGCAAACAAAAGCGATTAAGAAACAGAATTACAATATCTATATAAGTCCCGTGTGCAAATTTAGTAAAGCTATTGACACAAGATAAAGACGGAGACCAAGTTACGTTACCATTCACGTTTTCTATTTCACATTCTTTATCTGGTCTCAGTGGCCTTGTTTTATACATATTTAAAACGTGAGTGTCGTGGAACACTCGGCTGAAACGAAGTTCCTTTCGTAGTATATTATTATTAATAAACTTATTATATTATTGATTAACAAATACAAATAAATGAATTACTAGCATCTGTTAAAATGAAGCGTCATTTAAAATAATATCTCATTCATGGCAAGATAAGAAAAAATGCGAGGGAGATGGATATTATTCCATCTCGCTCGCACTATCGAAAGGGGTCGTGACGGTAAAATCTTACACATTTTCTCGCCTAGCCCCCATTCGTGCCGTGCGATAAGGAACTTGGTTCTAATAACTCACCAAGCAAGTTCTGCGTCCTATGGCATTCCTCACAGCGTCTACGTCGACTGTGTACGTGTCCTCGGAGACGGGTATCGTGACTACGGACAGGTTGAGATACTGAGCAGCCTTGTCGAAAGCCGAATGTGCCGTCGACGGCACGATTATTTGCGGATTGCTTATTCCCTTGCTATACGCGAGGTCCCGGAAGGCTTTACACGCCATTATTATAGATTCCGTTCCTCCAGATGTCACCTGAAACAATAAAATAGTATATTATGGTACAGCCACTTCTTTCACGCTAGACTGCTGATCGTGGGGTCCCGGGTTCGAATCCCGGATCGGGCCAAAATCAGTTATTGGGTTTTTCTGTCAGAAATACTCAGTAGCAGCCCTCGAATCGATGGTTCATAGCTATACTAAGGTTCGATAGTTTTTTGTATCGAGAAAATTACATATTATCGTGTTTTCCTTTTAAGCAAACCAGTTATATAGTCAAAAATCATAATATATAAAAAAAATTGATACGTAATCCATAAAATCTAAAGAAATATGTGAAATAGAAAAACCACCAAATTTTTGAGGTATCACCTTAATTTACAAACTAATATTTCTAAGAATCTACGGCTTACGGCAGCATCTCCAATGCCAATCTATGGCAATTTTTTTGCATATTTTATAGGTAAGGTTTTGTTCTTTTGGATAGGGCAAAATTATAAGTTTAAAATCGATGCGGTCAAAAAGTGGAATATTTTACAGGAATTTATTCATGAGTAGGTAGTAGTAGTAGTACCAGCAAACGAAACCGAATATATAAAACTTTTCAACATTCAGGGATAATTTCGAAAAACAACATATAGTTGTCAATCAAAATATCTTATATTACTATCGATATGAAGACGATATAAAACTTTATTAAATACAATTCAAGCATTAGTACACACATTACAACCGTTACTAAATTGACGAAAGGCCGTAATTAGCGGATAATAACCGCTTACCTTGAAACAGTGATTATGATGTTTATCTAGTGATGATGTACCAATGCACGAGAATGTTTTTAAATTTCGTACTCGTTTGCAAATAACAATAACAATAAATATGTAAATGAGGCTGTATTTGATATGGTTATGCAAAAATGCACCATATGCGCGTCAAGTAAAACTGAATTTACAAGGTATTTGTCTAGTTGTTCTGTGAGCAACGATTTTAATTTATTCTTAAAAATTTGTTTGAAATGGATTAGAACTTTATGATAATTTAAGTTTTTAGTTTTAGTTTTTTTTTTAACTATTGTTTTTAATATTGTACATATTTCACTAGACGTTAATAAATAAAAAGTTTGAAGTATGATTCCACAACATACATACAACACAATTAAGATCACTAAAGCCGCTGTTCACACTAGTCTCATGTCGGATCGATTGAAGGTAAAGGCTTTTTCACACTTCCGCGGTTAATAATTGTAAGCTAATAAAATAAAATTTCATATCAGCATCATATCGATTCGCGATTGTACTACCGGTCAGTGCAGTCGCTTCATAATGATGTGACGGCTCTAATGCCGAACCTACAATATTTTCGTAGCGTAAGCATACCTACTGCGCGAAAATAGTTCGAAATGGCGTGTCAACCTAAACGCTCCGATACCGTCGTAGGCCACGTGTTCCTGGCCTTTGTTCAACAAAAATTGGACATCATGGACCAGGTGTCTCTAGAGCAGATAGGTACTGATGACAAGCTTCACCGAGGACGAGATCATCCAAGTGAAGAAGGTGTTAGCAGATTCGGCCGTGACCCAAATCCGTCTTATCACACGTCACAGGGATGGACGCGGTAAGAAAGACCTGCAAGACATCTTCAGGCTGTTCAATGAGACCGACCCTGATGACTTCCCGACTTTCGTCGCGCGTGATCTCAACAAGCTGCCTCCCGTGACGTTCGATCACGTAGACGTGACCAAATTGATGAAAGACATCACCACGTTGAAAGCCGGAGTTACCGACATCCGTTTCAAATTTGAAGAATCGGAACGAGCCGCAACAGAGCTGAGAAACGAAGTCACTATGTTGCGCAACATCTGCGAATTCATCGCCATCGCAGAATGTAAATACGACAGGCGGTAACCGTAATAGTAGTCATATTTCACCGATGATTACGACTCCGTCACGCGATACCGTCTGTCAGTAGGTTGATGGCCGTGAAACTAGGGCGACCTCGGTCGTCATTGCATCACCACCTCAGCCCTTGACTTAACCCACGAGTACTCCTCCGCCGAAGCCAACCTCACAACAAGGGAAGACGACTCTTGTGGTCTAAAGCGAAAGAATGTGGAAATAAAATCAGTTCCAATGGTGATCCGAAACAAGGTTGATAATGACCGGTTCACTCTCTTGTTGAGAAGAGACGTCGGTCGAGGACCGTCTGTAACCAGCATGGGACCGCCAAAATAAACGCGAGTACAACTCTGCGTGTGGTGGAGCCAACCATACAACTCTACATTTCACGTTTGGACAAAAGTACGTCGGGGGAAGACGTCCTGCGTTTCGTGTAGGAACGAAGCCGATGCCGCATTGAGGATCCAATCTCTTTACATTTGCAGAGTCTGGAGTCCAATAGGTCAACGAACTTCAAATCGTACGTACTCCAGGTTCCTGCAAAACACAAAGAGACTTTCCCCGCTCCCGATTTCTGGCCCTAGTGTACACTCTGGGGTAGTGTTCCGCCGTTCGTTTACAGGGACGCTCCAAAGAAAAAAGTTCCCTAAATAGTGTTATGTCTACATTTTATATATATTTTTAAGTTAAGGTATATATTGCTATGGGCCAATGTTCTTAATTTTTAAGTCCTTAATGCCAGAGATAAAGTTATTGTATTGTATTTCCTGGAGAATAAAATTTCTTTAGAAGTATAATAACTAACCATCCGTCAAATCTTGTCTAAGACAATAGGAAAATGTAAAAAAATCGGTTAGAAAAGTCCCTTTTTATTTGTTAGGTACGATGTCCGATAGAGGCAGGAGCATAATGGCCTATTGCCACAATGGGGCACTATCCTACCTCTCTGTATATAACTTTTTACATTACTTCTCCACTTATTAATTAATTATTAATTTATATCTTTGACAATGCTTCAATTGTCAATTGTGATTGCCGTAACGATCAGGTATTCTATCAATTTATCAAATCAATTACAATCTTAATTTATCAAATCAGTTAATTTTAATTTATTAAATCAGTTATACTATATTAATTTATTAAATCAGTTATTATATTATTTTATCAAATCAGATATTATATTAATTTATCAACTCAGTTTATATATATCTGTATAATAACTAATTTATCAAATTAGTTATTATACACTGTCCCTCGGTAAAGTGCAACCTCAAAAGCGGGTGAAACTAGAGTATAAATTATAGACAAAAAATAGAAAAAAATATATATTTCAGTTTTTATTGACGAATTAAGATTTTCATATCTTATATGTAGACTCTATGTACAAAAAATAACGATTTCTTGCAAAGTAGTGGGTTGATTACTTGAAATAAAAATAAAATATTATGCCACGTCCTTGGCGGTAAGGATAAAATAAAAGTGGCATCATGACTTTAATTTTGCTTTTGTGAAAAAAAATTCCATTTTTAACCACGGTAAAGACAGAGGTCAAATTAGAAGATATAATTCTTCAATGTGCGAATGAGATAAAAAGTGACCCAGGGATGATGCGCACAGCTACAAACCAAGCTGCAAACTAAATTGCTCTTCGTACGGCAATACGCATCCAGCAAAGAGGTGGCCATTTTGAGCATTTAATGCATTAGTTATAAGAACTGTAAATAAAATTATGTGCCCACTTGTCTTGATTAGAACTTGTTATCAAAATCTAACTTTTAATGGTGCAATGTTAACACCTGTTAGCCAGCGTGTTTTGAGTTACAACATAGATTATATTTTTATTTGAAAGGCAAAATGGTAGAGAAATCATAAAATTTCCTGTTATTTGGCGCATTATTCTGAGAAAATTAGAGATCATTGAAAAAAAATACTCAGAAAACATGGAATTTTTTCCGCAAAAACCAAAGTTAAAGTCATGATGCCAGTTTTTTACGAGCTAATTGTTATTTTAGTCTTACCGCCAAGTACGTGGCATAATATTTTTGTTTAAAGTAATCGACCTACTACTTTACAAGAAATCGTTAATTTTTGCACATAGAATCTACATATATGATATACGAGGGCTGCACACTAAAAGTATCGGGAATGGAATATTTCCACTGTTCCTGTCATATTAATTTTTTTTTTAATTGAAAAGTCCTTGGTTTTAAAAATCGAATACCATTTATTTATTTAAAAAAGATTCTCGGTCTTGTCACAAGGTTTTGTCAAACTTGTTTAGTCGTTGAGAAAATGGAATTGACTCGAGAAAATTCAAGAGCGATGATTTATTATGACTTTCGAAGTGGTTTAACACAAAAACAGTGTGTTGACCGGATGATTTCTGCATTTGGCGATGAAGCCCCATCCAAATTCTCTATTCCTCTTGAGGGACAAAGAGCGGTTAATGCAGAATGGTATGCTAGCATTTGTTTGCCACAGGTCGTTTCTGAACTCCGTAAAGAGAACTGCAACCGCCGCATCATCCTCCATCACGACAATGCGAGTTCTCAAACCGCACACAGATTAAAAGAATTTTTAGAGCAAGAAAACATAGAATTATTAGACCATCCGCCGTACAGCCCCGACCTAAACCTTAATGATTTCTATACTTTCCCTAAAATAAAGAATAAATTGCGTGGACAGAGATTTTCATCACCTGAAGAAGCTGTGGACGCCTACAAAACGGCCATTTTGGAGACCCCAACTTCCGAATGGAATGGCTGCTTCAATGATTGGTTCCATCGTATGGAAAAATGTGTCAAATTTCGCGGAGAATACTTCGAAAAGCAATAAATACATTTTTAAATAGTAATGTTGTGTCACTTCCTTGATTCCCGAAATTTTCAGTGCCGCCCTCGTATAACAGTCGTCAATTCTCTAATACGTAAATTTTATCGAAATCGTGAGACATTTCTTCTTGTTGATGGGCCTGTAAAAGTCCATCGCTGACATGGGCCCATCCCGTCTTAGGGAGGTTTTGCCTCAATCGTCACATTTGGCAATCGAATTGATGATCGTTTCGCGTCTGTTAACGTTACGAGAGACATACAAATATAATAAGTCCGTTTTACTCACAGTCCCACAGCACTCCTCGTCTCCGTGGAACAGGTTGATGGCCATTCGTACAATCTCGGATTCCATCTTATTTATGCCGGGGAACACATCGGCGTGTAGTGGGTTGGTGTAGGCGGTCAGCGAGTACGCGTCACACGCCACCTTGGATATTTCCTCGCTCAGATGGTACACGGCGCCGGATACGTTCCCGCCTTTCCAGTCATAGGCGCCTAAGAGAAGTAAGATAGCTTTAATAACATAGCAGTAAATATTTACGTGGTTTATATGTAATTTCTATAGTTAAATGTTTTTTGGACGTAAAACATGCATGTTCTTACGCACATAATCCAATACGCATGAACGTAACAAGCCCAATTGTTACCACTGTAATTTAAAAACCCGACTACGTAAAAAGTTTACTGAAAAGATAATTTTTATACCTTATGTCACTTCCATAACTAAGACGAATTGAAGCCCCATTCCATATGTAAAAATCCATCAACCCGTTTAGACTACAGAGCGTGCCAAAGAAATAGACAGCCGGGTAAAAACGAATAGACATACGTAAGCATAAGCCATCGTTTTTAAATTTTGTGCTTACGATATATCATAATTTTCACACACTTTCTTATAGAAGTGTTGCAAACAAGCACATAGTCCACCTGGTATGGTAAGTGGATGCTGCAGCGAATAACAAGACACATAAATATATTTCAGATGAAGAATCAAAATGCAGATACGTTGTCACCAATTAGGAGTAAGATGAGATGCCTCTTTGCCAGTAAAAATGGGGCTTAAGGCGGTTGGTAATGGACAAACCATTACCAACTTATGTCTTTATTGGCCGTCGTACATTGTAGCGAGCAAACATCAAAGTGAAGTTAAAATTGGATAGTCTATACGCTACATACGTCGCACTACTGGGCACATGTCTGCTCTCATTTCTGGGACAAAGAAATGTCCGCCGCATTGGGCCAATGCGTACTGGTGGACTTCACATATTTTTGAAATATTATTATTTTTTGGACATGCATATGTGTGAGGTGCCAATTTTTTTTTAATTGTGAGTTTTAATATAGTGTTGCGTATAAACTTAGAGCAGCATGAAAAACTAATAAGTATTTGGTTTGAACAGTCCCGACCTAGAGCATACCTATTTAAGAATCCCTTTCATAATTTAAAGAAAAACAGCGTATGACGTTTTAACACTTACTCTAAATTTATAAAAATGACCTGTACGGTAAATCATACAAAGCTCATCCTATTTCAGTGTTTCGCTTTGATTGGAGTTCGTGTTGAATCGTTATAGTGTGCGACGGCCTTAAAACACCTTCACGACCGCTGAAGCAATATCTGCAGTGGGGATTCCGTCGCTTTGTAGGAAATATGTAAGGTGCAAATTACTAACTTTTTTTTATAAATGCCAAACTAATCGTGATAGCAGTAGGTACCAGCAGCCTGTTAACCTATGAACTAATCAATTCTTCGTTGACGCCGCAAAGAGGCGAACTTCAATTTTTCAAAATATTACAGGAGCAAGAAAACATTTATTATTTCCCAATTACTAGCTTTTTTAAATTTAAATATATTACACTTAATGGAAAACTACAAATAAGATTCATTTTCTGATGAAAAAAGCTAGTAATCGGGGAATAATAAATGCATTCTTGCAGTTCTGTAATTTTTTGAAAAATTGAGGTTCACCCTTTGCGGCGTCAGCGACGAATTGTCAAATAGAGAAGTATTAATCGAAACAGGTCGAACCGTCAATGCGAATAAGTATACAGGCTGGTCCAAACAGTGCCGTCCAAAAGAAAAATTTAAATTAACACCCAGGGGTATCCGAAAATACCTCATATATGTTATCAGATTTTTTGTAGTTTTCAAGTTATATTTTTTTTTTTGTATTTTTTTAGTGTTTCCTGCCAGTGGGGCTTTAAAAATTCATATCTTTTTTTGTAGTGGTTATTTATTAATATTTTTTTGATATGGTCGTCTTGAATGGTACTTTCACACATATAATAATAATCTCCCTAAAATTTCTGCAAATTACTCAAAAAAACATCGAAAGTAAGAATTTTAGTTTTTAGTAGGGTAGACTCGAATTTTCAGCTAAACCTATGGAAACTTCTTTTTGTATTTTTAAATTGAAGTAGAAAATTTGTGTCTTCCCCACTAAAAACCAAAATTCATATTTTGGATACTCTTTTAAGTAACTTGCAGGAATGTTAGGAAGTTTATTATTTTATGTGTGAAAGTGTCATACAAGACAATAATGTCAAAAAAATATTAAATATGTTGCCTTTGTATACAGTACGTAACAAACGACCCGGTGATGCTTTTAGGGACATATATGTATAGATGATGAGAGATACTTAGGCATGGCATTTGTGAGAGTGAAATCATTTGTGAAGTTTTTGGTCGTTATTAAATGGATATTAGTGTTCACAATAGGTAACTTCCTAAATAAAATCTTGTGAAAAAATGTTATTCACATCTGATCTAACATGCGCATCGGTTATGCGGAGTCTTTGACAATACTCTTAGGCCGAGATATATAGGTCGTACTTTGACTTTTCTCAGACTTAGCTCACGAAAAACTTAGCAGAGTATACGCTGAGCATAATCTTTGATTCTGAATTTATAGTTGTATCGGGCTGAGATTAAGCTACGCTTATGCTGAGGCCCAGACAGTCCAAATATTAATATAGATGCTTCATTCCACGCATTGTTTTTGACTTTACTGTATAACATTTAAAAAAAAAATATATATATTTAAAATCGAAATCAGGTCAAATTGAATTTCATAAATAAGTTATTATTACACGAAATAGAAAACGGGCCTATGAGAACGGGAACGGATGAGATGAGTGCAAAATAAGAAAAAAAAAAAGAAAAAAATTTTAAGAAATTCAAAATAAGATAGAAATCACGTAAATAGAAAATGGATTAATGCTATTTAAAACTAGAAGCATCTAATTAACATCAAATGGACTGTGTGCTCGTTAGACATTCTAAAAGATACAGACTATATACGTCCCGCTGCTGCGCTAGACAGGGTTGTAAATGTAGAGCATTTAATCCACCGCGCTTATCTGTGCGGCTCGGCAAACTTTTCATGTGTTCGAAATATTTTTACTCTTTAGACATGCAAGATTCCTCACGATGTTTTCCTTCACCACAAAGAACGTGGTAAATCAGTACTTAAATTTGCACTAAGTAATCAATTTCATTAGTGACAGCGGGTATCGCACCCGGGTTTCGCGCGTATTGTGAAGCGATTAAACCAGGTTCTTCAGCTGGGTTTTGGCCTTTTTTATAGGATAAGGGTGACAAACGAGCACACAGTCCACCTGATGGTAAGTGGTTATATACGTAATTAAATATATATCATCATAAACATCTACATCTATCCTCAATAAAAAATCTAAATGCAGATGCGTTGTCACCCGTGAGGACTAAGATGGAATGCCTATTTTCCAGTAAAAAGGGTCTCCGGTTCTCTACACTCACCATACGAAACACAGCAGTGTTAAGCTGCTATTCTGTGAGAGCGTAGTCCTTCCCCGGTCGAGCCGACCCATTCATGCTACAACTATACTTCTAATGTAGCTGCAGCATGGCTCTACCGCGTATAAAATTTACCCTCATTTAGTCATCCTAACTTTTACTTATTATATAAAAAATAGTCTACAGCCAGCAGTAAATACGAAACATTGAGGATAATTTTAAAAGACATGAAAATATCAAACTGTTTACTCATTAATTTAACTTTATAGTGAACGCGATAAAAAAAAAACCCAGTTTCGAATGACGCATATAACAAGTAACTATATATGTTTAAGATTAAGAAGTTAAGAACAAAGAGAAATAGCTATAATAGTCATAGTTATTTATAATGAGTTTAGTGCACTCGCATAATACATTAAGTCTTTAGAACCCACACCAGCATTTTTTCTGCATTGTGAAGGCATTTTTAACCGACTTCAAAAAATGGGAGTGATTCTAAATTCGTCTATATTTTTATTAATAAATAAAATTTCCACGTAACGGCTTTTACCCGGAATAATCATTTGTAGTCAGTAGTAGTAGTAGTAGTCCTTTAGATAAACACTTTAGATAGAAGCTTAGCCAAATCACAGAGCGTTTAACAAAAGGGCTGGCTAATGTTAATTCACATGTTATATGATAACATTTTTTTATTATAGAATACGGGTGACAAAAAAGCACCCAGCCACCTGAAGGTATGTGGATGATGTGGCCCATAGACATCTATATTTATCCTCAATTAAGAATCAAAATGCAGATCAGATACATTATCACCCATGAGGAGTGAGATGGAATGCCTCATTTCCAGTAAAAAGTGTCTCCGGTTCTCTACACTCACCGTAAGATACACAGCAACATTAAGCTGCTATTTTACTCTAGCATTCTGCGAGAGCGTGTTTCTTACCCCGGTCGAGCTGACCCATTCGTGCTACAAACATTATATAGCTGCAGCGTGGCTATACCATGTATAAAACTTATTATATAAATTTATTTATATTAGTTTGTAATTTTTAATATTACAATGCAGGAACTGAGGAGCAAATACTGGAGCGATGTTGCCTACTTAGGCTAACTGATAGTAATTCTCTAATAACATACCCAATGTAAGATGATCCTTGATTTCCTCCGCGATCTGTTCCGCTGACAGGCCAACGTCCGGTATTTCGCGCCTTATCGTCATGCCAGCTAAACGCTTGGCCACGTCCCTTCTAAAGTCTCGCTTTATCTCCGACATTTTCTCCTCAATCTTACGCCGCACCATCGGTACTCGACGGAGCCAACGGAAGAATTCCTTCCGTAGTCTTGTTGGTACGCCTGTTTTATAAAGTAAAAAAAAAGTGAAGTTACACCCTAAATATACATCCCACAGCAAGGCACAGGCCTCCTCTTAATTTTTTTTTATAGAATAGGGTGACAAACGAGCACATAGCCCACCTGAGGGTAAGTGGTTGCTGTGACCCAGTGACATCCACATCTATCCTGAATAAAAAATCAAAATGCAGATGCGTTGTCACCCGTGAGGACTAAGATGGAATGCCTCTTTTCCTGTCAAAAGGGTCTACGGTTCTCTACACTCACCATACGAAACACAGCAGTGTTAAGCTACTATATTACGCTGGTATTCTGTAAGAGCGTGATCCTTCCCTGGCCGAGCCGACCCATTCAGGCTACAACTATACTACTAATATAGCTGTAGCATGGTCCTACCATGCCATTTTAACATTCTGAAAGAGTTATTCCCTGAGCTATTGGCAATAGGCTAGAGGTAGAATACAAAACTTATGATAGAAGCAAAAATCTTTTATGACCTCCCAAATGGCTAGATGAAGTATATATATTGAAGTAAAACAAATATGTATATAAATACATATAGTGAAAATCATTACAGTCAAAACAAAAAAATGAAATGATAATTCAAATAATATACCAAGAAATAGTAGCAACATAAGAAAATACCTTTTTTCGTCCTGAGAATATTATAAAGGCTGAAAAAAAAAATGCCAAAAATCTCCATCATGGATAATAACTATCTTTATTATGGCCAACCAAAAATATGTATGGCACCAGCCTGACAACAATATCCAATTTATATGTTTTCTATTATTAACATTCCATGTAGAATAAATGATACCACTTAGTTAATGAATATGTCCAAGTATAACACTGGTAACACTTTATTAGAAAGTATTTAACAGAAAAGGATGTAAGGATAAATTGATAGCTTTTTGCATAATTTATTTAAATCCCTAACCGTTAGTTTGAAAATAATGAATTTAATCTTAGAGTCTTAACATCTTAACAATACTAAATATAAGCATGAAGTTTATAACAATAAGGTGTAAGTCTAAGTCAAATCTGGTTCAACAGGTTTTTAGTCCATATTTCCATAAACACTGATTCCAAGAAAAAAATCAGCTCAAAATACGAAATCACACACAGACAAGTCTATTTTTGGCTATGTATAACAAAACATAAAAGTATGATCTGGATTGGGATAATGAATTGAACAAAATACGAGGGTGGATTGAAAAGTACTCGGCCTAACACAGATCCATTCAATTCTAAAAATCAAATCTACCCACATTATTTAGTTCAGTTCAGACTAGTTCATTGTGTGAAGTTCGAAACGTGTGCGATAATTAGTTGTGATTTTATAAATTTATTAACAAAGTAATCGGACATAATTTCCGCGAATGGAGCAAATCGAGCAGCGTGCCGTCATTAAGTACCTCCATAAGAAGGGGCTATCATCAAAAGCCATCCATGATGACATGGTCAGTACATTAGGCGATTGTGCTCTGTCATATTGATCCGTCAAAAAATGGATAGCAGAATTTAAGCGTGGTAGAGAGAGTGTGAAAGATGAACCCCGCTCTGGAAGGCCTTCGACGTCAACTACTGACGAAAATATTAAAAAAGTACTTGATTTAATAATGGGAGACCGCAGATTAAAAATTAGAGAGATAGCCGAGATTATAGGCATCTCTTATGAACGAACTCAAAACATCATTGTCAACGAGTTGGGTTTCCGACAAACGAAGATTTTCGACAAACGACGAGGTCAAAGCAGCTGTAGACGCATATTTTGACTCTAAGGAAGAATCATTTTTTTTCAACGGTCTAAATGCTTGGAAGGGGACGTGGCAAAAGTGTATTGAACTTGATGGTGATTATGTAGAAAAATAAAAATATAACTGATTTAGTATTTGTTTATTTTCTTGGTTAGGCTGAGTACTTATCAATCCACCCTCGTATAAGGACAAAATAATGAATTCAATAAGAAAATTAAATTGACTTACTCTCTCTTCCGTTATACAGACTGTGTGCCCACACAATAGCAAGCACAGAGGATGCAGTTATGGTAACTATTTGCCATGGTTCTTTGCCCTCAAAGAACCTGTTGATAGCCTTCAGTGGCTGCGGCCTCTCACTCATGGCTGCAAAAACTACTTTCATATAAACTCAAATATATAACACAAATTTTGAAATACATGTTTTGTCTTACATTTTTACTTAGAGTGTAAGGTGGAAAACATATAAGTAATAGATAATCCATTAAATACTGACTTCTAAATTTCACAGACTGGTTATGGGAAGCATTACCAGTGCAAAGCTATTAATTCTAAGCTTACCAACATGCCTGCCAAGCATGGTGAGCAATTTTTTTAAATAATGCATGCTGGCTGTTGCACTCTTGGAAATGCCTATATCCTAGGGCTACATCACAACTTACACCAGGTGGAATTGTGGTCGAGCATTGACTTATCTATACAAATAAATAAAATTGAAGTGTCTGTTTGTAATGTCAAAATTACAGCTTTTTACTAAATGCATATAGAAGTATATACGGTACTAATAACAAAAATACAATTTTTAAAGTTTTTGTCTGTCTGTCTGTTTGTTCTGGCTAATCTCCGAAACGGCTGGACCGATTTTGACGGGGTTTTCACTGGCAGATAGCTGATGTCATAAAGAGTAACTTAGGCTACTTTTATTTTAGAAAAAGAATTAGGGTTCCGCGCAAAAAAATCAAAACCCCGAATAAACTGCAGGCGAAGTCGCGGGGAACAGCTAGTAATAAATTAACAAAAATAAGTAAAAAAAAAATCCAACCGTAAATTAAGAAAAATATTTAATCATTATAATTAGAAAAATCTATAATTATACATTACTAAAGTATATATGGTTAGTTGTTAGTAGTAGTAGCTTACTATTTAGGGGTAGTTTAAGAATATCTACTACCCGATACTGGCCCCGTGGGTGTCATAAGAGGCGACAGAGAGAAACAAGACTGAAGAAGGCCAGCAGTTTCTTCCTAATAACAACCAGAAAATAAAAACTATGGTTGCCAACCCCCCTTCCAAGCATAGCAACTTTGGCAAATTTTTTATAGGATAGGGTGACAAACGAGCACACAGTCCACCTGATGGTAAGTGGTTGCTGTGACCCATAGACATTTACATTTATCCTCAATAAAGACTCAAAATGCAGATGCGTAATCATCCATGTGAACTAAGATGGAATGCCTATTTTCCAATAAAATGTGTATCCGGTTCTATACACTCACCTTACAAAACACAGCAGTGTCAAGCTGCCATTTTATGCTGTTATTATGTGAGAGCGTGGTCCTTTCTCGGTCCAGCCGACCCATTCTTGCTATAACGATACTACTAATATAGCTGCAGCATGGCTCTACCACGTTTATCAAACTACACATATACACTACACGTATACCAAATATCTAAATTATGAGATAATTAATGGGGAGGCTTATGTATAGCAGTGGACTTTTGATAGGAAGTAATATTAGTATTAAACTTGTATATATATAAAATATACATCTCATTAGCAAATGGCGAAATAGGAATAGCTCACATCAGTTGAACAGTAAAGGCACAAGTTCAAAAATATTATTTAGTTTCATTACAAAGCTTCCCTTATAGTTGATAAGACACACTTAGGTTTAATTTCTTCCGAAAATTCAGCAACAAGAACAATTAAAACAAACACAAGTGGTAAAATTAAAAAATTTGTACAACCAACTTCAATATAAATTATTAAGGATAACTCAAAACTACTGGTCAGACCTTGGTCAAATTTATATGAGACCACATGGAAGCACCAGGTTTAAAATAAAAAAAGAATCATCGAAATCAGTAAAAAAAAAACAGTCGAATTGAGTACCTCCTCAATTTTGAAGTCGGGTAAAAAAGGAGCTGTTATGACCAATTCTACAACATTTGTGTACAAGAATAATGTAAACTGAAAAATAGTTAAACCTTATTAATGATATGAGGGTTACTATTCATATTTTAATTTTATTATTAGAGTTCTGTGAGAATAATTGATAAATTGACTAAAATATAAGAAAATTATGAAATATGCAATAAAACAATTAATCAAAATTGATTTTATCTGTTTTAATACTTTGATAAAAAAAAAACATAGTAATGAAGTTGTATATTTCATTGCATTATAAAGAAATGGATGGTTAATTCAGTTAATTTAACTAACAACATGTGCACAACATATTAGTATAACAAAAATGAAAAATAAATTATCATGCAGGCTTTCATGCAATGACAACTGCATACACTACAAAATAGTATTAAATACAGAAGGGGCAATGTTAAAGTTTGTACTGATTGAACATGAACACTGAAGAGCAAAGTTATGATCTACATGATTACATTAGTACTTATTTATATTAACAGTAGTTACAAATTATATATTTTTGTTTACCTAACTTTTTAAATGAGTCTATCCTTAACAACATTTTTATCTTATGCCAAATTTTGGTAAGGTAACCTACATAGATCGCAAAGGTTCCATAATAGGTTAATAAATAATACATTATTTATTATCCCATAATTTGTTACTGTTATCATTACAACTCATTTATCTAGGTTCCTTTATTCAATTATGTAAGCTTACCTTCGAAGCTTAATTATTTAAGTAAACATATTCATTAGAAAAACGAACTTACCTGTATTATTTTATTATTGGGATAAAAATTATTATACAAATAATGATATATATATACTCAATCAATTATATCGTTATCATAATTAGCTGATAAGAATAGTGTTCTAGTGTAATATGTAGTGTGCCTACAACGCTGTAAATGAGAATGAGATTAGTACAAAATAAAAATACAAAGTATCTATGTAGTTAAAAGATTATAATAGTCGTCACCATATAAAGAAGTGTTTTATAAGTACATAAGCTCAATACACAATTGACAACCACGGCTTCAAATAACTTCAAGCAAAGTGATTCATCTCAAAGTAATAATTAAAATTACAAAGTTATGACATCATAAATTTTAATGTGTTACAATATCAACATTTTAAAATTTATAGGACTTCTTTGAGATTTCTTTAGTCTTTAGATCTCTCGTCAGAGAGTAGTATGTTCCTTGCTTTAGATGACAGACAGCCCTTTTTAAATAACATTTTTGGCTTGGATGCTTGTCATTTAAGACATGTCTTTATTTCAATCGGGATTCATCGCTTTTATAGATTTTCAGTATAAAAAAGTGTAAGTATCATTCTTATCTTTATATATAAAAATTACGTGTTACGTTGTTTGTTCGCGATGGACTCCTAAACTACAAAACTGATTTCAATGAAATTATGCACACTGTGTACATTTTGATCCAACTTGAGAGCAAGAATAATTTTTATTCCGATAAATGACCCTCAAAATTTTTTATTGCGAATTTCAGGATTTTTATAGGAAGGGTCGTCGGAAAGGGCAGAACAACGTCTGCCTGGCGAGCTAGTTTCAATATATTATTCAATGATGATGACACTGTGTGACCACTTCCATGATAAAGTATAATTTGGCAGAAATACTCTGGCCGAATTTAATTATAAATTTTTATTGACCTTTACAACGCAAGCTTTCACGGTATATGTTAACTCACCAGAATAATGTGAAATTCTGAATCTGACTACGTTTTTGTTGTAAAGTGTATCTAGTTTTAAATTTACGTTTATTAATATTATTATGTGTTATACGAATATACGAACTGTATCAATCAAAATCCATAATTTTATTAAGTCTTAAACAATATGACTTTATTAACAACGTTGTTTCGCTAATGTTGATAGCTATGAGGGCTTATTAAGATTATAATGCTCACCAGATGTCGCTAGTTGGGACTGAGGTTCACTTATTTATGATGGAAATGGTCACATTGTGTCATCATCATTGAAAAGTGGCTTTTAAATAAAAGTATATACGCAAAATAATGCCTCAATGTTGAGTTCTGTAATTTTTACACATTAAAATAAAACTAATATTTCGAAAAGACACATTAATCTCCATTTTTTTCTAGCAAGTTAACTTCCCCGCCATGAAATCTTTTCAATATTTGACCTCATTCCAGAGCCCCGCGCTAATGGCAGAAAATATCACGTGTTTGGTTATCTATGGATTGGAAAAAAGCAACAACCTAGAGAGAGAAAAAAGGTCTTTCAGTGCTTGACCACAATTCCACCTGGTGGTAAGTGTGGATGCCCTAGATGGTAAATAGCACTGTCTTTAGTAACAAATACCTATTCACTCTTGCCTTGAAGATGCCCAGATTGCATTCGGATGGAAAGATAGACGCCGGCAAATTATTTCACTCCTTTGCTGTATGCATTATAAAAGACGAAGCTATATTTCTTTTTATTTCTATCTTATTTTGTATCAGAAAAAATGTCATAAGCATAAAGAGTTCACCGACATTAATTTTGTTCTTATTTTAGAATGACCTTTATGCTTTTACTTAGTCTGTGCAATAGGTATACAGAAAATTTTAGTCATTTTACAACAAGGAAAATGCAATCTCTCATACCCCATTTACACTCTCGCGCGAGCGACGAGGCGAGTCGCGAGGCGAGCCACGAGGCGCGAGTGTAAACGCTAGCTCGTGGCTCACCTCGCAGCTCGCCTCGCCACTCGCGGCGCTCGCGTCGGAGGCGGTTTTTTGGGCACGAGGCAAAGGGCCTCGCGAGGGACGCGAGCGTGTTTACACTCGCGCTCTCGTTTCAGTTTGTTTACGGCGCCCTTCCGTGCAGGTTGTGTTGTTTTGTTGGGTTTACACGTTCAACTTCAATTAAAAATGGACTAGTCGCAAGAAGAAACGCTGCAGTTCTTGGAACTCTATCAGGCTGAGCGAATAATTTGGGATCCAAAAAATATTATTTATTTTATTTATTTATTTATTACAAAACTACGGCATGATTACAATAGTAGTATACAACCTTTACTTAGTTTTACATTAAAGCTAATTACAGTTTTCTTACTTAAAAATCATAACTTAAGAGTACGAGCAGAAAGAGTAATTTAAAAATATGTATATATATATATATATATATATACATATTTATATACAATATATATATATATATATATATATATATATGTACATAATATGTGTGTGTAAAATGCTTTAGTATTATATA